GGCCCCTGGACTCGAGATGTCTTCTACCTTGCAACCCACCCTTCAAACAGTGACTGGGCCCAACGGCACAGTGATGCAAATAGTGGAAGTGTCGCCGCCAGCTTCTCAACATCGCGAAAGACCCTCCCAAAGCTCCCCGTCGACGGCTTCCCGAACAAAGAAAAGCAAAAAACAAAAGGACCAGAGGACGAAGTCGCCGATTAAGCTCCCCCCCTTGAAAGCGCTGCAAATTTGGACTCCTAAGAAAGATAGGAGGACTAAATCGAAAGCAAGGATGGCAACGCTCACTCTACAGGAGATTGACGCGTGGACTACTGCAGCGAAGAGCTCGACCGGAGACTCAGGGGAGAAAGCTCCTGCCTTCCTCGCCGAGGGGCAACACCCGTCTCCTTCACCGGGAGAGGACGCTTCTTCTCCGACCACCTGAGGGGCTCCCCTCCCGCTCCCCCTTCCCTTCTCGTCTTAGTCTTTCTTTTTCCCTATGTCTATGTCTATGTCGATTGATTTACAAACTAAAATTCTCGCGTGGAATGTTGGCGGTGCAGGTGGAAGAGCCTTCCTCCGGGCTCTGAAATTGGTCATCCACACTCATCGCCCTGATATTGTTGTCCTCTTGGAGCCTCAGATTAGTGGAGCTGCGGCGAACTCGCTGTGCGATAGACTGGGCTTCCCCAAATCCATCCGGGTGGAAGCTTCGGGGCGCAGAGGCGGTATCTGGGTCTTCTGGAACCACAATGTTTCCTCGGCTGTGATGGTTTCGGCGTGTAATCAGCACATCACTCTCCAGATTGAACAGTCGAATCGCAGACCCTGGATGCTCACGGCGGTTTACGCCTCTCCCAAGTACAGTGAGCAACACCCTCTCTGGGAAACCATATTCAGGGAAAGTAGGCGCTTTGATATCCCGTGGCTGCTTACGGGGGATTTCAACGCGATCCGTGACCTAGAGGAGAGGGCCAACCCGCCTGCTAGTAATACTGTCAGAAGGTGTCGTCTCTTCAATGACAGGATCAACAAGGCTGAGCTGGTTGACCTTGGCTTCTCGGGTCCGAAATACACTTGGACCAGGGGAGATCAACCCCAAACGTACAGGGCGAGCCGGCTGGACAGAAGTCTGTGCAATGTGGCTTGGAATGAAGCCTTCCCTAATACCTCGGTTATTCATCTCCCGCGGGCGCAATCGGACCACAACCCCATCTTAACCTCGGTGGCCTCCCATAACGGATCATCCCCCAATGATCGTCCCTTCCGCTTGGAGGCTGCCTGGTTCAGTCATGAGAATTTCCAAGACTTCGTGACAACCACTTGGAACGAGCAGGTTCCCCTGCCGAATGCTCTCCTCAATCTGGCAGGGGGTCTCAGGGAATGGAACTCTACTACTTTTGGGAATATTCAGAAGAAAAAGGCCCGCTTCCTAGCTCGTATCAGGGGAGTGGAAACCAAAATTGCCGTGCTTTTCTCCCCCGGTTTGGCAAAGCTTCACTCTAAACTTGAAGCTGAGCTGGACAGAGTGTTGGAACAAGAAGAGATATATTGGTTCCAGCGAGCTAGAGACAATTGGGTAAAGTTCGGAGAGAGGAACACTGCTTATTTTCACCTGCAGACCAATTTGAAGAGGAGGCGGAAGAAGATCGAGGCGCTGCAGGATGACAATGGTACCTGGGTGTCTGAGCCACATTCCATAGCCCAGATGGTTTTTGAGTTTGTTACTAAACTCTATCTGCAGGATGATTCAGCCTACGAAGACAGACTGCCGAAGGGCTCTTTCCCTCGGCTGAGCCAAGCTGAAATGATCACTCTGCTGCGTCCCTTCTCTGTCATGGATATCCATAGGGCAATTTTTGAAATGAAACCTTTTCAAGCCCCTGGGCCTGATGGATACCACGCAGCCTTCTATCAGCAGTTTTGGAGAGTAGTGGGTAAGGCGATGGCTGACATGGCTCTGGAATTCTTCTCGACAGGGACGCTGCCAGAGTCAGTTACTGACTCTACCTTGGTTCTGATCCCTAAAGTTGAGGTTCCTGAGAAAGTGACCCAGCTTAGACCTATCTCCCTCAATAATGTCTGCCTGAAAGCGATCACCAAGGCGATGACTAGCAGATTGAAGCCTATTATGAGGAATCTTGTCTCTCCTCGTCAGAGTAGCTTCATCCCGGGTAGACAGACTGCCGATAACATTCTGGTTGTTCAAGAAGTCTTACACTCCTTCAGAAAGAAGAGGGGGAGAAAAGGGGGGCTGGTATTCAAGATCGATTTGGAGAAGGCTTATGACAGGCTGAGATGGGATTTCCTAAGAGACACTCTCAAGGAGGTTGGACTCCCTAGTTCATGGATCAGCTGCATCATGTACTGTGTGGAACAGAATAGGATGCGGATTCTTTGGAACGGAGATCTGTCCCAACCGATTTACCCGTCCCGAGGAGTTCGTCAGGGAGACCCTCTTTCCCCTTACCTTTTTGTTCTTTGTATGGAGCGTCTATCTCACAGGATTGATGAAGCTGTTCTAAACGAACAGTGGAAACCTGTGAGGCTTTCCGCGAATGGTCCCCCTCTAACCCATCTTTTCTTTGCAGATGATCTTCTATTGTTTGCAGAAGCAGAGTCGCGCCAAATTGATGTGGTCAAGCAATGTCTGGAAGACTTCTGCTATAGCTCTGGTCAAAGGGTGAATCTTCACAAGTCTATCATGTATGTGTCACCTAATTTATCTCGCAGGAAAGCTTCTATCTTGAGTCAGCGTGCCGGGATTCCCCTAAAGGCGGCGCTCGGGAGATATTTGGGTATCCAAGCTATTCAGGAGCGTGTGACGAAGGATCGATACCAGCCCCTTCTTCTGCGCATCCAAAAGCGTATGGCTCCGTGGAAGGCAAAGCGCCTTTCCTTTGCTGGCCGTCTGACCTTGGCGAAATCCGTGGCTGCCTCGCTTCCTGTGTACAACATGCAGACGGAGCTCCTTCCTAGCAGCGTATGCAAGTCCATTGATAAGCTTAGCAGAGATTTCATCTGGGGTGATGATGAAAACAAGGCCAAGATGCATCTAGTGAGTTGGGATGTGATGACCCGTCCTAAACCACTAGGGGGAGTGGGGATCAGACCGACCAGGCAAGCGAACTTGGCTCTTCTAGCCAAGAATGGATGGAGATTACTTAAAGACAAGGAGTGCCTTTGGACTCAGATTATGAGGGCGAAATATGGGCGCCAAAGACAAGGACTTGAAGTTATCCGGCCTTCTCAGGGAAGTTCCTTCACCTGGGCTAGCATTGCTAAAACTGCTAGTCTTATTAAACAGGGATGTGCGTGGAACATTAAGAACGGGAAGAGAACTAATTTTTGGCTCGATATTTGGGTTTCGCAGGTTCCTCTTCGGGATTTGGCAATTGACGGCATCCCGATGGACTTGGAGGGGAAAAAAGTTGCTGAGATGGTTCGGGATGACGGCACGTGGAAAACGGAGCTTTTTGAGCACCTCCTACCAAGCGAGATCACTCAAAAAATATTGAGCACCATGGTTGATACGCTGTCGCAGGAGGATGATGATATCTTTTGGGCGGCGGCTGCTGATGGAAAATTCTCCACCAAGTCAGCGTATAACCTTCTTACCCAGCATTCCCAGCATCTCTCCGCCCACGACGAGAAGACTTGGAAGACTATCTGGCGCCTCCCCACCCCGGAGCGTGTTAGGAGTTTCATGTGGCTGGCGTCTTCAAACAAGCTAGCTACAAATGTGATGCGCCATTTCCGGCGAGTTGCGGATTTCCCCTGCTGTATGCGCTGCCCGGGAGTCCCCGAAACAGTCCTCCATATTTTGAGAGATTGCCCGCCAGCCTTGTTCTTCTGGGCGCGCCATGTGCCCTCTGAGATGCAACAAAGGTTCTTCAGCTCTAATCAGCAGGATTGGTTCCGGGATAATTTGATGTGCTCTACTTCTACTACCTCGGGAATGGAGTGGCCTGCCTTCTTCAGCACCGCCTCTTGGCTCCTCTGGAAGAATAGAACCACTGCGGCTTTTAAAGGAATCGGGGCGGCGCTGACCACTCACTCGCTTGAGCATTCGATCATTGCAAGGGCGAAGCTGTGGCATGACTCGTGGGTCTCTCCTTCTCCCCTGCAGAATACCAGGTCGCAGGCCGTGGAGAGAACGTTGGCTAATATTGGGTGGACTCCACCGGTGGAAGGGTGGACGACTCTGAATGTTGACGGAGCCTCGAACGGGAATCCGGGGCCAGCAGGGGCTGGTGGACTTCTTCGGGATCACACCGGGCGATGGATCAAAGGATTTGTCTCAAATGTCGGGTCGGCGTCAGCAACCCTTGCGGAACTTTGGGCCATCAACCATGGCATTGACCTCGCCTGGAAAGAGGGGTTCAGAACCTTGAAGATCGAGTCAGACTCAAAAATGGCGATCCAACTCATTGAGAACAGGCATGATCCGGTTCACCCCTATGCCACTATTTTGTCCACTATTCGGAGGAAGATTAGCAATGACTGGTTGGTCCGTATTGTTCATACGTACAGAGAAGGGAATAGAGCTGCGGACTGGCTCTCGAAGCACAGTCTCGTCTTTCCCTACGGTACGCATGAGCTTGTGGATCCTCCGGTCGGTCTAGTCTCCATTTTACGTGATGATATGATGGGTACTACTCAGGAGAGACGCATCGTCGTCCCGTCCTCTTCCTCTCTGTAACCCCTGTATCTTCTTTTTCTTGGCTCCGGCCTCCTATCAATGCAAAAAAAAAAAAAAAAAAAAAATATATGGGACGCATGCTACGTGAATACAACCCGCGTTATGACAACACCACCAACAAAAAACTCACTCCTCCATTACCATTGCCATTCCATTCCATTCCATTATATCATACACAAAAAAGTCCACCCAAAATATCGAAAACCAAGATTCCAACCCATCACCCAAATCAACATCAAACCCAACAAAACAAACACACTTGAACTAAAACACAATACCATATAAGATTGACCCAGACATCACTTTAACAACTCCCAACATTCGACTCTATTCATTATCAAACCATAATCGATCTGAGAAAGTGAGAGGGTGGGTAGAGAGAGAGACTGAGTGTGAGAGAGAGAGTAGAAGCGTGCCTTCCTTTTCCTTTTTTCTGGAGGGTCCCTCTGTTCTTGCCTTCCACACTTCTCATTTCACATACCAAACTCCCCCCCACGCCCAACTCTTCTCTTCTGACCCCTCCTCTTTACTTTCACTAAACCCTAAGCCCGTAGCCCCCTCCTCCTTACCTTAATCATTCTTCCTCCATCTTTCACTTTATTAGCAATTATATGCTGCACTCCACCACCTCATCATCATTCAACCAAAGAGTAAAGACCACCTGCTACTGCTTGCCTCGCATCTCTCCCTCCAAACACCCCTTTCCTTTGACGCCAACCATTCACCTCCACATTTTACCAAATTAGCAGTTCAAAACTTACTTGCTGCTCAACGCACGCAACTCAAAAGCTTATTCTTAAAATACTAAGGATAGTAGGTTCTAGTAGATGGTGACTAATTTGTCATGGCCAGGTAGCCTCTGCCACTGCCATTCACCGGATAGCAGTAAGACCCAAGGCTTTTGCTTTCACCTTCAGCGATTTTAAGTAATGGATGGCCTCGTCTAGAACCGCAACTGCATCCTTGCCCTCCCCATCCGGGATTAAATTCTGCAAAATGTTCACTGTCTCGCGTATTCTCTTTTTCGTCATCCTCTTATTGTCGAATTCAGAGCCCAGGTTTTCACTTGATGCTGCATTGAACCCACCACAGCACTTGGATTCCGCATCATCTTCATACTCGGATACTTTGCTTTCGACCTTCACAGAACTGGCAGTGTCCACCAGTGATGGCATGTCGTCGCTATGAACTCCATCAAACTGCTTCCTTTTCTTCCTAGTCCAACCATCAGAACTGGCAACCTCTTCTGTTTTGCTGCTATTTGATAAACCCCCTGGCTTATTGTGAGCTGTCATTGTACTGGGCGAATGATCTGTGCTCGTAACTTCATCGTCATCATCTGTGCAATCGGTGTCATCATCGGAGTAAAGCAAGGCATTCAGTTCTTCTGTGTCCTCCTGCATCTCACTCTCGAAACCAGTCCGGCCATGATCATTTTCAGTTGATGTCTGATTCAACTGGAGATTTAGAGGTTCCTCGGATACATGCTGTGCATTATTAAACTTGGAAGCAGCAACAATTGGCTTTGGACTCCAAGAAGTAAGGCATGGGGCAGGTGGCGCAACGTCCGAGCTGAAGATGAGAGTTGTTTGATCACCAGACTGATCAAAGACAAGGAATCTCTTCTGACCACCGGTGGCAGATTCTGATATGGGATTGATTATTGGCTTCGGAGTAGAGTAGAGACTCTTCTTCAGAAGCGCAGAGTCAAGATCAGGCATAAAGGCCTCTCTGAAATGTGGCGACCCATAAAACCAGCTACCGTGTTCGTTGGTCTGACCAACAACCTTTGAGTGAGGTAGCTCCTGGAAAGAGTGGGTGCCCAGATTCCCATTTGGGGATACCATGGGAATACTTGAGTTCATATGTGAAGTAATATGATCCTGTTGACCAGATTGGAAATACTGAGAGCCCATATAATCAAACTTGGGTGATTGCCAATGAAATAGCTGTTGTGGGATCCAGGAACCAAGAGGTTCTCCCATCCAATTTTAAGCAATCACCTGTGACACAGAACATGAAGAAATCAACACAATGCTTATAACTAGGGCATAAGATGAATTATTCACAGCTGAAATCCAGACAAGAGACATGAAACATACCGCAAAGAAATTCTGGATGTTGAAAGCTTCGGGTTTACTGGCTAATTCTTTTAGATGCAATGGTAAAAAGAAGAAACTCCAGATCAAACTTGAAAACACAAATGCAGGAAACAATATCTACGTTACAGGTTTCAGCAAGTGGCGGAAATATTCAGCCTGGAAGAATGCAAGTGAACAGAATTAGTATATACCACTGGCAAAAAATATATTACAGCATACATGGAATCAAACAGCAGAAGAAAGTAATGTATGAATTTTCACCTGGCACTCCAGTAATGTATGAAAGCATGCTATAACTCTAACAACTATGGCCGCACTCCCAGCAATCCCATTTTCGTACTTCACTGCCCGAAAATTTGTTTGGCTTGCTGCTTGGCTTACCATAACTACCTCCAAATCCCTTCAATGTGTAAACACAACGACAATCTTCGAACGGAAGCAAATCAAACAGAGCCCGGCTAGTTACAAGATGAACCGCTTGCAAGTGAAATCCAGACTTATTAGCAACAATTAGGACACCAGAAAGCTTCAAACAGGGGAGATGAGCTAGTAACAAGTTGAGCGGGGCAAAAAAGAACTAAGAAATTGGTGGGGGTTTCTAACTTCCACTATTCAACTAATCTGGCGCACATAGCACGGCACGACAACAAAAAAGGAGGATCCCATGGATTATGCACTGAAGGAGGGGAAGAAACAAAAACAGGGCGTGATCTCTGGGCAGCAAAGGAAAGGGTTTACAGAATCACTCTGCAATACAAGTTGAGGGAGATAATGTTGCGATAAACATCAACAGAAAGAGTCAGAATCCACCGCATACTGTCCCTTTCAACAAAATGATAGCCACGATTGTCGCTGGCAACAATACCAATTCGTTTCCGGGGAAACCCTGCACGAGAAAAAGAAAAAAAAAAAAGCAAAAGGACTAACCACAGTTAGAACATGGAACCAGTGACCTAAGATCACCAAAGAAAAAGAACCCAGAACAATTTAGCGACAACCCACTTCCTTAGATCTGATTCTAACATCAATTGAAATCCTAACAAGCAACGGAAGCCAGAGTTAAACCAAAATTAACCACTGGGTACTGGCCTCTGGGAAAAGAAAGAATCCTAGTATCCGCCATACAGCTTATCTTTAAAAAGCTACAGAATTGGGTCACAATTGCACATTTCAACAAGCGTAGTAAGAAAAGAAAAAAGTTCAAGCAAGGTAAGCTCAACAGAAATGATAATTTTGTAGACAGAAGCACCAAAATCTATCACAAGCCACAAGGTCAAATCACCATACGGCTAAATGAGAGCCAGAAACGCAAGGAATCAAGCAACGAGAATGAATCAATCCAAAAGAGAAACTATTTGGAGAGACGAAAGAAAAGGAAAAGAACTCACCAGATGCAACAAAAATGGGAAGAGGCAGAGAGCAATTGAGAGAATTCGTACGTCGGGAAATCTTAAAGCGAGCAAGAAGCTGAGATGGAACCGAATCGCAGGCGTGGTAGCAACAGAGAGAGAGAGAGAGAGAGAGAGAGAGAAAAGGGAGCAAGCAGGATCACTCAAAGGAAGGAAAGCCAACAAAGATGGAGGAATGGATGGCGGAAAGAGAGAGTGAAAGAGTCAAAGTGCGAAAATGTTGGCTAGGATATGTGGTTTTATAGAAATCAGAATTTACAGAAATATCCCTGACGACTGCTCTATTGCCGTTCTTTCCATTTTATTTTCTTGTTTTCATTGGGATTTTGGACATAGTGTTTCACACGTGTGGCAGCTTTGGTGCGAGGGAGGGAGGGAGGGAGGGAGAGGTGCACGCAAGGTATAAGTGAACAGTGATGACGACCACGCACTGGATCACTCCCTCATTTCCTAATTAAAAAAAAAAAAAAATCCATTTGGAGGGAGAAATTAAACTACTGCTTTGATTACAAGGTTTATTAATTTACGAGTCTAACATTAAAATTGTCGCGTTAATTAAGATTTGAGAGTTGCAGATCCTAGGTACGAATCCAAGCGAGACTCGATAGTGTTTCCGGAGGTATAAGACTGCTGGTAGCGAAGTCCCGTTGGCGTTGAATTGATTGTAGGTGACCCTCATATTTTAGTAGGCCCTGCTGTCACAAAGTGGCATTTGGGGCTGAGGTTTTTGAGTAATATATTTTTTTATTAATTTACTTCACATTTTTTTATTAAAAATTAGGATAAATACTAACATTTAGCTAAAATTTTCTCGCATGTTTAAATATTAGCCAAACTTTAAAAAATATAAAATATTAGCCAAATTTTTATGTTGTTGTTAATAATGTTATAACTATAGTTAAAATACTAAAGTTTTGAAATGCTGACCTCTATATGTCTCTTTCAAGGTAGTGTTTGGACAATGAGTGTCAGTCAAAGTACTTCGTGGCCGTGGCGAAGGGTCCTTAAACTTCGACCTAAGCTGCTACCACATTTATCTTTGATTGGTGAGGTTCCAAGTTGGGATGGTAAGCTAATGCCAGTTTACAAGGTTGCATTATTGTGGAATTCATTGAGATCACAGTGTCCGCAGCCAGCCGCAGGTGTCGTGGTCAGGGCTGTTATGGGGAAAATTCTCCATGCCAAATAATAGCTTTCTAGCGTGGTTGGTTCTGCAGAATGGTATAATCACTAACGATAAAATGATAAAGTGGGGGAAGCTTGTTGATGGATCTTGTTTACTTTGTCATTCTCAGAATGAATCAAGGGATCATTTGTTTTTCCAGTGCTCTTTCTCTCGACAAGTGCTCGCTAGCTGGAGTCAGGCACGCCACTTCTGCAAGCAGTCTTGGGAGGAAACAGTGCAGTCCATCGACTTCATGCATGAGTAATATGATTTGGATGCATAGCAATCGATGATAATAATTGAGGGTTAGTGTCTAATGTCACACTTCCCAAAGCAATTTCAAAGCTCATGTTATTTTGAATTACTAGTCTCTGTGTTAATACGTGATCTAGAGAGACTAGTGTAGAGGCTATGAAAGATGAGGTATTGACTAGGGATGGCAATGGGTCGGGTTTTGCCAAACCCAAACTCATGAGTTTATTCGTGAAAAAAAACCCCAGGATAAAACCTACTGGGTTTGAAAAACTCAAACCCAACCCAACCCGCTGGGTATCCGCAGGTTCATGGGTGCCCATGGTTTTTTGTCGTAAAAATTCACAATAACAAGTTCCTATCAAAATTAAAGTCAAATATCAATCTCTCAATACAAATTATCCATATATAAAACACCATTCTAGAAAATTGAAGCAAATCACAAATTATCCATAAATAACATGATTAATTGAAAGTTTCTTCCTTTCAGTTAAGTTTTTCACTCTCCAATCGATAACATCAACTTCATTCTACACAACTAGAAAGAAAAAATTAGACATGTCTCCACAAACATAAATAAGATTAGTTGTTTAGAATATTAAATATGTCAAGAAAATTATTTATATGGGTATGGGCGGGTACCCATGGGACAGGTTTACCTAAACCCAAACCCAACTCAACCCGATGAATAGTGAACGGGTTTAAACCCAAACCCGGCCTAAAACCCGTCAACACGAATTTTACCTGCGTTGACCGGGTTAAATCGGGTGGATACCCGTGAGTTCGGGTTTTGTTGCCATCTCTAGTATTGACCAATCTTAAAACATAGGATATATACCTCTTAATGGCAAAGGGGGTGATATATACCCTATTAAAATCGAAACCCTACCACGACAAGTATATCTAAAAGACACTGGCATGCATAATAACGGGTCTCGTTACAGATCCCATGGTTCATGACAAAAACAGTTTGGACATGTGTAGTTACGAATGGGATGAATTAAGCTCACCAGAGCAACATATCATACTCTTCCCGAATAGCTACGAATGGATTAGTGCTCCACACCAAGACATGGTTGGCATCCTATGTTTGATACGAAATGGAAACCAATAATTTGGAACTGAGCATGGTCCATGAAACCGTACTGGAAAAGTCAGCGGTAGGGTATTTTATGGCAAAATTGTGATTAACCGTAGTTCAATCATTAATACCGTTAAATACCGCCTACCGATTTAGCCTCCAATACTGGTATTTTGTGATTGAACCGCCGGTACGATACAGTTTTGTGGACCATGAGACTGAGGAGGTGAAAGACACCCGCCAGCCAATCGAAGATTTGGTAGTAAAGTCCCCTAAATAAAAAATAAAAAAAAGATTTGGTAGTAAAGAGGTCATAAAATGGTAGATAGAAAAACTCCCCACCGCAACAATGTTGATAAATTACAACTCGGTAACTTGCTGTATCCATATAACGATCATAGTCCTCATTGGGCCCCCTTTCGCAATTGAATGGCTTAACGTCGCCCTAGATTTACTAAAATCGTCCTAATTTAAAACATAAAATTATTAAGTTATCCTTTGTTAACAAAATCAAATTAAAAAAAAAAAAAAAACAAACGACCTACTCATTTTGGTTGATAATCGCCCTTACCCAACTACCGTCCACTGTCGATTTCCTGCACTTTCTTTAATCACTGGTGCTACCATCCACAACCGCGGCCAACCTACACAACTCCCAAAACCCTCTATCGTCGTTCTTTCTCACTCACTAAATGTGACGTCTGTCAATGGGCTCGTTGCTAGAATCAATCACCATTCCTTCTTCTTCGAAGATTATATCGCTAATTACGCCTTCCTTCTCTATGTATTCGGTATTGATCAAGAAGGCGCGATTAATAGTTAGACAGGAGGAAATCGCCTCGTCTAGCCCTGAGCGATTGATCTAGGAACCTAGGCACTCGGAGGCGCGTTTTCACTCAGGTGAGCAACGCCCAGAACAACTAATAAAGGGAAAAAGTGTAGCCTTTTTGTGAAAATCCCAAACCCTATTCTATTTCCCGTTTCCATTCAACCAACCGCTCCCCCTCATTGACTAGCAGTGATATCCCTCCTCATGGTTGGTGACTTGGGATATTTGGGATTGTGGAAAAGGGTTGTATGTGTATATGAATGGATGAATAATGATATGCCTTGAGTTTTTGTGGAATATAGCTTATCTATCATATTTTCTTTCAACGTTTAATCTCGCCTACGCAACGACTAATCGGTCTGGGCGCTGGGCGGTGCCTCCTCGCCTAGATAGCCCCTAGCGTCTTCTTGAACATTGATTTATTTTATATTCGGTCAGTCCCCAATTCTATAGGGATGCGTTGAATCTCGATTTTTCGGTTGGGAGAAAAGAATTTGCATAAAGGGGATATTTTTTGTAAACATCGTCATCCAGCTTAATTAATCTTCCCAAAAATATGTTGGTGATGAATCCTCTGTTATCATCACGTCTGTCCCTCACCCATGTATATCCGATCCGAGAGACTGACGGCGGTCGGTGGTGGGGGAATTAGGGGGCGAGGGTCGGAGGGTAATGCCAACCGTCAATTTTTTATTTGTTGGTTTTTATTAGAATAAAATATATCCCAACAATAAAAACGACAGAAGGCTAAAGAGGTAATCGTAGCTTTTAATTTAGGGCGATCAAAATAAATTAGGACGATAATTAGCAACTCCCCTTTCGCAAAGGCTTAATTTTCTGGGTTTTCGATTATCTATGAGCTTAAATGGGTAATAATGATAGAACTAAGCTTAATTTCAAAAGATTATTGTTATTTTTCATTTCTAACCCTCCTCACTCTAAATCATATCTTGGATCCTTTGGGTGTCCAATAGCTCTCTCTAGGAGTGAGTAATATCTTAGATAGATTAGTATGAGTCCTCTAATTAACCATGTCCTAGGATATTTATTGGTAGTATCCATGACATCTATAATATTGAGGTAAATCATCTTATTAGTTTTATATATACCCAAGATTAGGTATTAGTACTGACCTTTTGTTTATTCTATAATGACCTACTGTTCCTGTTTAAAGCTATAAGTTTCGTTCGGACAAAAGCTAGCGCACGTCTGGTATATGATATATGTATGGGTTCACACTTATTTGATGCACTTCATATAATTTGATGAATAAGAGGCGTTAGTCATTATTTTTAGATAAACTAGGGTTCACCATTTAGAAGTAAAATATAATATCATATCCCAAAATCCAATTTATTCATAGTGTAAATAGTAAAATGCAATGGACGTACTTCAAAGATTAGTGTATGCTAGACATACACTTACCTAACCCATATATATGTATATAGTGCTTTCTATTGTATATTGAGTAAAACCAGAAGCACCACATAACCTTGATTAGAAAACGATCTTATGTTACAAAAGGGCCACTGATCCCCAAATCCTGGCTCTCCCCCTCCTCTTATCCATTGTCCTAAAACTAGCTAATGATGCGGCTTCAGGCCTCCTAGAGAAGCAACCAAGCAGAGTTAAAAAAAAAAAATGGAAATACAGCTTTGAAGTAAATTATAGTAGAGGTATGCTGCCAAGGCAAGACAGATAATGGTGTAGTATGGGACAACCACAAAACCCCATATAAATAAATACAAAAGAAAAGAAGAAGAAGAAGAAGAAGAAGAAAAAGCAAGACTGGCAACCCTAGCAAGCAAGCTCCATGATTTTAATCACCTGAAGAAGATCTTATAATTCACTGGAAACAAGATCTCATTGTCCTTTCCCACAGCACTC